AAGCGTTCTCTAATATTTTTAAAAGATTCCTTGGTTGTTTATATAGCAGTAAATAGAACGTAAATAAATACGTAGTAAATTAAAACTCATGGAAAAAAACTTTAGGAACTTGTTGCATCAGATCCAACTAGTATTTGATAAGCTTGACAATATAATGCTAAAAGTTCCATAAAATGGTTTTCTCGTAATGAAAAGTATAATATATGGATTCACCCAGTAAATTAAATTTTTTCCCGCTGGTTGAAATCCGATTTAATTTGATCATAATGGAAAACGTGACTGTGCAGGATCAATTATTATAATTTCATTGCATTTTTAAATACCTGCAAGAGCCGGATTATTGAATGAAATTAATATTCTAACAGCGAAAATTATATTTTCTATTCAATAGCCATGGCTAAACCAACGCATGTATTTTAAAACTAAAATGGTTCAAATCTTACTTGTTTTTTAAAAACTTTGTTGCCTTTTATGGTATTGAGCTGTTCGCCCGTTTTAATTGAACCGTTAGTATTCGAAACATCGTTGCATAATCGAATATTTCGCTTTTTCAGTTGGTATCATGGAATCTTAAAAATAGCCTGTTTACGTTCAGATTATTCTGTTAGGTGATAGATTTCCTTAAAAGTTCTCTAATTTACCAGTATACTCAAATCAGGGACAATAAACATCCGCATTTATAAAAATGTAAAATTGACCATAATATAGTGGACTCATAAATTATCTAATCCACAATGATTAAATATAGACTACAGTTGTATAAGTACTTTTAACATTAATTTGCCGAGAAGAATAGACTAGGTGTTATCAGACTTGAACAAATTCTTTTTAAACCAGGACCAACAATCGATGTTTTAAATTGGGACAGAAAATATTGAAAAACAGAAGGTCAAGGGTGAAATTGCAAATAGCTTTTGCCCTGGAGCTTGATGCGAGAATTCGAATTATAGGTTGACACATTGAAAACTCCCCAGTCTCAATATATTAGCGTCAAGAAATGATAACGACATTCTGCAAGACACGCCGATTTTGTTCTCAAGGAGGAAGGTTTTGACCCAAATACAGAAAATTTACCCGTGCCACTTTACTCGAAAATTTTAAATCGAAAGGGTGGACGAGAAGCACTTTTTTTAAGGTCTTTACGTTCTCGTCACTATTTTGGATGAATGGCTACGTTCTATTGGATGCTTAGCAAATTATTATTTGAGTCGGAGTTTCATTAACTTCCATTAATAATTACGGAATGAAAGTTACGATCCGAATTACTTTGTTAATGAAAAGCCGTGATTTCATTTCTAACAAAGTCAAGCCTGGACTAAAGAGTATATAAATAATAATTTATTGAATGCAATGACTTATTTTTCTTCCAACATCTAATAAGATAACAGACTATATTTTGAAAAATTCCTAATCAGAAACTGCATTTGAAAAAAAATTTGGGGTTTACAGGCCACGATTTTTTCGGAAATTCGTCGCTCAAAAACAGTTTTAATCAGAAACGCCTCGACATTACTTTACTTCAAATCTTGGGAAACGCTTATGTTAGTTAATTAATACTACTTGCAGAGGGCCAATAGACAATCAAATGCTTCAGATTATGTAAAACTTGAACTTAGACACTTTTTGTCATTTTTTATAAATTATGACTGAAATAATAACATTTGCAATTTTTTTCCAAATATATAAATAAATTTGATATGAAAGAAAATTGACGGGTCGGAGCTTTAGTGCAAAAAACAGTTCTCTGAATTGTAAATTGATTTATGCATTCTGAAACTCACTCATATTTGATGGCAAACCTTAAACATGTTATATTTTTAACTAAGTGTTTAAGAACCTCTTTTACCCCTTAAAATTTTCAACAAAGTACAAACCACGTAATCATAGATTTCCACTCTAAAACATATTATACTGGTAATTTGCTGAAAAGTTGTAGGCAATAAAATAAATTATCCCTAAAGAAGGAAGCAAATGCTATCAAATGGATCGACATCGTACTGATTAACTTACGGCCGTCGGACATTATTCAAAAGCATGTACATAATGCATTTAAATAGTGCTTTGCAACAGAAGCATTATGACACCGACGGAATTGCTTCTATGACATACCAATAATTCACTTAAATACTATTTTACGGAAGCAATATTTTGGCTAGTGCCGTGCGGCTTTTACGAAGTGGCTTAAATTGCATTTTATTGCATAAAGTGAAATTACATTAGAAGTGGCTGGTTCGGTTGGCAAAGAAGTTGATGAGACATTTTTTAAAATTATTTTAACGAAATTTGTCTTGCAGTTTGACAGTGTAAGAATTCTGGTTAACTGCATGGCTTACTGGAACCCACTAGCTCTACTGCACCTCTACGGTGCAGCAAAGAATCAGTCCTTACGCATAGAATCTGTGATGTATTTTAATAAAATTTTATTATTTTATTCACATTTAAAAAGTAAAGTAAAATTTTTTTCATCTCCCATTGAGAAACGTTGATAGAATTTAAGATAATTAGAATGTGGTACAAAATTAACAACCAGTTAAATTGTTAAAAATATACACAGTTTTAATTAAAATAACTTTAAATTTAGGAAGATAGGTACCTGCTTTATGCATATAAGAACAGGAAATCTTAAATATAAATATAAATTTAATCATTTGATTATTATACATTTTGAAACATCGCACAAAAACTATCCAATGATAAGTCAGCGAAAAATGTGTTTTCAAGCTCAACTGGAAAAATTTGGGTTTGTCATTTTTTGCAAGCCATTGCAGACATGTTTTCTGCAAGGGAGCATCTCTTCCTAATAAATTAGTCTTGATGCATGGCACGTCGTGGTGACTAAGTTTTCATTAATTTCACAGGATTTGCTTTAATTTTATTGAAAGGAACGAAACGTTTTATTTTTATAGATATTATTTCTTTGAAATTAAAAGCTGACACACTAATCGAAGACCCTGTACACTGAAAAACTTTATGGAAGCACTATACAAGTTTCAATTCCAAGCGTTAAATAGTCGGCTAAAAGGTTGTCGAAGAGCTTTACAAGTCAGTTTCCAGTCATCGCATGGCAGCGTTTTGCAGTCAGTGCAGTGCTTTTCCGACGCTCAAGAACTTTTTTTGTGCTTTCGATTGTATTTAAAGAATACTAAGACGATCCGTGAAATACACGAATATTTGACAAGTTATATGTAAATGTATGGATCATATTACTTATTTCGTTATACGGCAACTACAAAGTCAAGAAATAGAAATGTATAAATGTCAAATAGATACCAAACCATTTAGGGATCAATTTCAAAATACAGGAATAGATTGGATCGGTATTTAGTTTCGAAGAGAAGTTTTGTCTTTGTGGAATTTTGGGATGGAGAAATGGAGAACTATTCCATTTGGAATGCTTTGTGAAGGAGCGATTACTAAAGTATAGCTAATTAGTTATGGATTCTGTATCTCGAAGGATTTCGTTTGAGCTTATTTATTAAACGGTTTTTGCTCTTTATAAGCGTCTGTTTCTGCGTTTGCCAACTGCAAAAACATATTTCCGAGATTTATGGCTTGCTAGTCGAATCAATATTATTTAACAACGTAATAAGGCGAATATAATTTTATTTTGGGCATTTCTAACGAACGGAGCACCGTTTCAAATACCATATATGATTGTTGGTTGTTAAGAAATAGTTAAGTAGTGCCGTATATCTCAAATGAATTTTAATAAAAACCGTGGAAACTCATTTAAAAGTTATTCACTAAGGCGATGAATTGGTTAATAAAAATTGTTAATTGTACTAATATATTTTCTATAAACCGAATAACAGGAGAAAGCTGAATTACATTTAAAACCAATATTACTTATTTAATTTAGAAATAAAATAAACAAGATTTGCAAAATTAAGTTTAATATTTTCCATGTAGGCCATTTCAACTGAAGTGTTGAAGGGAACTTCTACGAACGACGGTGTAGTAATCCGTTGTAACCTCAATATGAACGATATGAAACTTAATATAAACAAATAAAAGTAATGGGATAGACGCCACTTAAAGAACCGCAAGAAGGTTAAGTAGTAGTAGAAAATAAATCAAGTGAGGATCTAATATCTCAGATCCGATAATTTGAAACCACATTGGACCACAACTTCTTTGGGTGTACAAATAACAGATAGACTTAAAAAGATGGAATAGGAAAAATTGATTCCTTCAGAATAATGTGAGAAGATCTGAAATCAGACGTATGAAAAATTATACTGGCATGATGGAAACTTTTATTGAAGATGAACAATTCAAATCCGGGAGCATACCAAATAGCCTGATGTGGGTATATGGTATATATCTCGATTAAGATTTTTCCCAAAAAATGTTCAAAGTATCAGTCGAAACGTTTTCGGGCTTATAAGCAGTTGACCATGGGAATTGCTTGTTTTGTGCATATCTGCGAAAAACAATAACGAAGACGATGAACATTCCATTAATGATCCCGCAACTGGTGGTGGTGCTGCATTTATACTAAGTTGTGTCTATGGAACCGGAGTGGGGTGATAGGCGCGCGAAATGTTTAGACGTCATCGACGCGCAGCTCAATGCACGTCTCAAATTCTGGTTCAACTCATTACATTCCTTCTTTTCTGTTGAAGTTGCTTGGGGGTCTGAAAATCTGATGCCGAAAAACTCTTCAACCATTATTTTGGCAGCTCGCGAGTTTATTTTATGTACACCATCTGTTTTTATGAAGGATACTGATGTAACCTGTAGTATTTATTATTATAACTTTACATCAAGTGAACAGGAACTTTGTCCGTTTAGAGAGTCAGTTGCTCAGAGTATCAAGCCTCAGTTAAAATACACTGTGTATAAAAAAAGCTGGAAATTTCGATGTATTGGAAATGCTGGATATAAATATGCCGAGTTGATACTGCGAGAAGTTTCGAATTACTGAAAGTGGTAATGGAAGGCGAGCAATAGATTACAAAAGATTTTATAGACGCAACTGATTTATTTGATGCACCTACCAGAGTTGGGGCATTGTAGCCCTCCCTTGGCATGCCGCTTTCATGTCTGTGCACATAGTCGGCTCCAACGGGGACCCTGTTGTTCAGCAGCTCTACATGTATTCTATCCACTTCTATGTCCGCCCGTGATTCCGACAGGCAATTATACTTGCCCTCCAGAATATTCTCGTCGTTATATTGCACCGTTGCCCTGCCTGTGCTGAGCGCTGCCTTTTTCTGTAAAACTCGTTCATTAACATTTATTTTTTTGCTTGTTCCTTCTGTAGTTGAAGATTTAAGATATTTTGTAAGGCTTGGAAAAATATTCGTACAACACGGGAAATCACCAGTTTTTAAAAGCTTCACTTAATTAATTGCCTGCCTTATTAAAAATAAATTCAGGTAGGTGTCTCCGTCTTTGAATTTTATAACGATGCATAGAATGAACTTTGCGTTAACTGATCCTTGTGCATTATATTAATTGGATTTCTTACGCTTTAAATTGTGTCGTGCTTATAAAGAAAATTAATCCAGAAAATTGAGCATATTCAGCTCCATAACACCAATGCATTTTTCATATAACTTATAGGTGATAAAATGCTTACGTCATATTCATAATCCACTAGCCCAATATGCCTCGTAGCCAATGGCAATTCCACAAGCAAGTCCCCTTTATAGTGCCTCTCTGAATTGGTATTGCCCGTTTTTATGGCACATTTGCTATCTAAAAGTGCAGTCTCGTTGGCCCAGAAAACTTTGATCAATCGATTGTGTATATTGCTTCAAGAAAAATGTCAAATTTTACACTAATTTAATTTTAATCATCGCTAAAATTTCAACTAGGCGCGAAGTAAGTCTTGTCCACAAGCAATAATATTTTACAAAAATAATTTAATTCTTTCTTTAGAATTACAAAATGTTGTCATAGCAAATAATGCGAAAACATGGTTTTCACAATTCGAACATTGGCTGAACCATATCAGCCGTTAAGTTCTCGTTTTAGCGGGTCTGTATCCTATCGAGCCAAACTGTTTTGCCAAGTATGAGTAGATCCGAACAATCAAAGTCGAACGGTTAAGAGCATATTTTGGAACAGTTGAAACCGGAACAGTAGAGAAATGCAAAATATTGCTTCGCCAGCCATAGGTGTGAAGCTGTTCATTTAAAAGATAATTTTAGTCGTTTCCGACGAACAGGTTCAAGCAAATATGGACTATAAGGGAAAAGCTGTGGAACAAATTGTTAAACAATATTACTTGGAAAATATGATCTTTTCAGGAACAGGATGTAAATAAATCTGAAAAACTAACAGCTAAAAAATCGTAGGTCCTTAATTAATGTCCATCTTTACATACTGAGTGCTCATTAGTGTGTCAAAAACAAAATTTCTTTTAAAAAATTCCTGAAAGCAATAAAGTTTTTGATGTTTAAGATGCGCATTTTGAAATTATTTTTCAGACCCGTTCTAACAAATTCTGTGTTTTTTTTAAATAAAATCTCAATTTTTTTGCCATTTTCCCCCTTTCTCTTTGTTTTATCTGTTTTCCCCACAACTGGACTCCGTCGGTTTTGAATAATTACTCTTTGGAAAATTGAATGATCGGTTCATGCACAGTTTGGAAATTTTTGTTTAATTTTACAATTTCTTAAATTATAACTTTGCTAAGTAAAAAATAAGCAGTTTTTTTAGTTTTTACCAAATTGTAAAATAGTGTCAAAAATGATCTTTTCAAAATGTGGGGTTTTTCTTAATAAAAGTTAAAGTTAAAGAATGTGCCCTTTTGATTATGTGCTTATGGTACACCTTGCATAACGGCAATATTTTTTAAATTTTTGTGACACTTATGACTGTAATTGAACCTGCTTGATACATTTTATTTGCTGTATCAATTTGTCTTTATTGCTTTAAAACTCTTATAATTTATTGGCATGCCTAGAATATTTGACGTTATTATACAAAAGTATTAACAAAGTTTGCGATTTAACTGAAAACAGAAAAACTAATATTGAGAAGGTACCAAATATTTGTATATTATTATCATACATTCTTGTCAAAAACCGGATAATCGTAAAAATACTGCAATCTTATGAAATAATGTAGCTAGTTATATATTCCTACACAGTGATGTCCCTGTATAGTAAAACGAGATCAGCACACCCATGACACTATGCTGAGTTAACTTTATTAGAGATTAGAAAGACAACCCCAACCATATCAAAGACCAAATTTTCCACCAAGACAAAGCCAAGTATTCAGAAACCCATTCATGAATAATCCAAATCGCCTTGTATATCCGAAAGTTCAACAACATCATGGTAGACTCGACGAACCAATGGATAAATCTGTCTTATCTCAGTCTTATCTAAGTCTCTAGTCTTAATCTCAGGCTTATCTAAATTCCAAACACCAACTTTCATAGAATTACATCAACAAAACGTTGAAACTAATGGAATGAATTTTCATGATCCTAATAATCAGTTTTCGACTAACAAATATCAAAACGTTTATGCTGATTTTAATAACCCTGAAACCTTCATTGACCCATATGAAATAGAAGATTACTATGACCCATATTATGAAGAAAACAGAGACTATGACAACCAAGCATATTTTGATGAACTCGAAAGAAATAACAGAACTAGTTCATTGCCAATGCCCGCACAAGCATCTTATCTTCATGATTCTACACAATCTCAATGGTACGATAACAATGAAAACACTGAGAATGAAAATTTTACAATGCGTCCTATAACACTCGAGAAACCTTGATAAATTGCAATTTAACTGTAGCAAATCTACCTCACATATACATTCCCGAAATAAACGCAAACTTACTAATTGACACTGGAAGTTCTAAAAGCCTTCTATCGAAAGAAATCGTTGAAAAATTCTATAAACGATTTATTTTCAATGAAGAATTCCAAATTCAAACAGCTCACATGATATCTCGACACAACCAAGTAATTTTCATCCCAATCTTCAATATTTTCAAAACAAATCTAAAACA